AATACATAAGGGGGGATATGATCTCCATGTATAATACATAAGGGGGATATGATCTCCATGTATAATACATAAGGGGGGATATGATCTCCATGTATAATACATAAGGGGGGATATGATCTCCATGTATAATACATAAGGGGGGGATATGATCTCCATGTATAATACATAAGGGGGATATGATCACCATGTATAATACATAAGGGGGGGATATGATCTCCATGTATAATACATAAGGGGGGATATGATCTCCATGTATAATACATAAGGGGGATATGATCTCCATGTATAATACATAAGGGGGGATATGATCTCCATGTATATTACACAGGGGGGATATGATCACCATGTATAATACATAAGGGGGGGATATGATCTCCATGTATAATACATAGGGGAGATATGATCTCCATGTATAACACATAAGGGGGGATATGATCACAGTGTATAATACATAAGGGGGATATGATCTCCATGTATAATACATAAGGGGGGATATGATCTCCATGTATAATACATAAGGGGGGATATGATCTCCATGTATAATACATAAGGGGGGATATGATCTCCATGTATAATACATAAGGGGGGATATGATCTCCATGTATAATACATAAGGGGGGATATGATCACCATGTATAATACATAAGGGAGATATGATCTCCATGTATAATACATAAGGGGGGATATGATCTCTATGTATAATACATAAGGGGGGATATGATCTCCATGTATAATACATAAGGGGGATATGATCTCCATGTATAATACATAAGGGGGATATGATCTCCATGTATAATACATAGGGGGGATATGATCTCCATGTATAATACATAAGGGGGGATATGATCTCCATGTATAATACATAAGGGGGGATATGATCTCCATGTATAATACATAAGGGGGATATGCTCTCCATGTATAATACATAAGGGGGGATATGATCTCCATGTTTAATACATAAGGGGGGATATGATCACCATGTATAATACATAAGGGGGGATATGATCTCCATGTATAATACATAAGGGGGGATATGATCTCCATGTATAATACATAAGGGGGGATATTATCTCCATGTATAATACATAAAACTCTATTATCATTTTGCTGAAATGTCATTGCAGCAACTCAGAATGGTCCTCAGTAGTTTGTATGGCCCCCACGTGCTTGTATGCATGCCTGACGTCGGGGGAGGTTCCTAATAGACCACGGATGGTGTCCTGGGGGATTTCCTCTCAGATCTGGACCAGGGCATCACTAAGCTCCTGGACAGTCTGAGGTGTAACCTGGTGGGCGTCAGATGGACCGAAACATGACATCCCAGAGGTGTTCTATTGGATTTAGGTCAGGTGAGTGTGGGGGGCCATTCAATGGTATCAATTCCTTTATCCTCCAGGAACTACCTGCATACTCTCACCACATGAGGCCAGTCATTGTTGTGCACCAGGAGGAACCCAGGACCCCCTGTACTAGTGTGGGGTCTGACAATGGGTCCAAGGATCTCATCCCGATACCTAATGGCAGTCAGGGTGTCATTGTCTAGCCTGTAGAGGTCTGTGTGTCCCTCCATGGATATGCCTCCCCAGACCATCACTGACCCACCACCAGAACGGTCATGCTGAACCATGTTACAGGCAGCAGAACGTTCTCCACGGCTTCTCCAGACCCTTTCACGTCTGTCACATGTGCTCAGGGGGAACCTGCTCTCATCTGAGAAAAGCACAGGGGGCCAGTGGTGGACCTGCCAAATATGGTGTTCAATGGCCAATGCCAATCCAGCTCTATGGTGCCTGGCAGTGAGCACAGGGCCCACTAGAGCACGTTGGGCCCTCAGGCCACCCTCATGAAGTCTGTTTCTGATTGTTTGGTCAGAGACATTCACACCAGTGGCCTGCTGGAGGTCATTTTGTAGGGCTCTGGCAGTGCTCATCGTATTCCTCCTTGCACAAAGGAGCAGATACCGGTCCTGCTGATGGGTTAGGGACCTTCTACTGCCCTGTCCAGCTCTCCTAGAGTAACTTCCTGTCTCCTGGGATCTCCTCCATGCTCTTGAGACTGTGCTGGGAGACACAGTAAACCTTCTGACAATGACACGTATTGATGTGCCATCCTGGAGGAGTTGGACTGCCTGTGCAACCTCTGTAGGGTCCAGGTATGGCCTCTTGCTACCAGTAGTGACGCTGACGCTAGCCAAATGCAAAACGAATGAAAAACAGTCAGGAAAAATGAGTAGGGAAAAAAATGTCAGTGTCCTCCACCTGTAAAAACCATTCCTGTTTTGTGGGTTATCTCATTGTTGCCCATCTAGTGCACCTGTTGTTTATTTCATTAACACCAAAGCAGCTGAAACTGATTACCACCCCCTCTGCGACTTACCTGACCAGATCCATATCCCAGGAGTTTCATGGACTTGATGCTATTCTCTGATTAAAAAGTATTTCATTTTTTTGAGTGTACATTTTTTTTTTAACCAGAGTTTAGTGTCACTTTAACATCAATCCAATTTCTGAAGATAGGTCCACTTGCTATACATAAGTTCTTCCAGTAGGTGTCAGCATTGGCTATATAAAAACCTTATAGAACCACATGGAAGAAGCTGAGTAGTTAGAGCTCTTGCTTTGCTGGGGGCTTAAAGCGGTAATAAACCCCAAATCAAAAATGTCACATATTGCAGCTTACCAATCATGAGATGTGGCGGCTGCATTCGTTTTCTTCTTTTAGGGTTTTTTCCCCCCTCTGTTTACACCTGGTGATCTGGCCAGTAGCACACCTCCTGTATTAGAGCGTCTCCACTCTGGAGAGAGGAACACAGGTGACACCTTTTAGGCAGCAGCATTGCTATCCTGGGGGAGGGGGTGTGCCAGATGTACTATCAGATTTAGATACACTAACACATAGAAGCCAGACTCCAGCTAACACTTTATAAGAGGTTTTGTTCCTTACTGGGATAAAGGGTTTTTTTTTGTTTGTTTTTTTTACAATACAGGGTGTTTTATTGTAAAAAGTAAAAACATTACAGCAGGGATAAAGGTTTTACATCTATAAATCAAAGCTGATCATTGTAAGCACCCCTGCCAGTGGTAAACGGTTTGTCTCATTCCTGTAAACAGATACATTCTGCCGGAGACCTTGTTCTTTTGAAAACCAACAGACTTACTGGCCGGATCACCAGGTGAGAATAGTAGAAAGAAAGCCTCTGTGATCTACAGAACCCCTCCCTACTATGTTACGCAGATGAGGAGAGGGGGAGGTGTTCTGTAGTCCCAGGGGTGACAACGCTGCTTCTTCATAGATACAGGTCATTGAAAATGCGTTGTCACCCTAGAACAGGACGTTTGCTGCTGGTACAGAAAATACTTGTTGATCCAGCCAGAATTTCAGGATCCGTGTCCCTTCCTGTGAGCTGAACCGAGATTGCAAACAATGTTATCTTCTTTCCAAGTTATCATCTGTGTACTACAAATTCCTCTGTAATGGGGATGAGGAGGTGTTTGTAGTCCAAAACAGGAGGGCAGCCTAGGGTGACACCCTCTGTAGAAACATTAGTACGCTGAGAGAGCGTTGTCATACTAGGACAGGAAGTGCGTTACTGGCAGGATCACCAGGTGAAAATAAAAAGGAAAAAAGCCTGGAGAAAGAAAATGAATGCAGCCACCCCATCTAAGGACTGGTCAGCGGCAATATATTACATAATTGTTCTTGGGTGTAGATACACTTTAATGCTATAAAAAAAAAATTATCAATGTACAGCCAGTAATAACTGTAGAACCCCCCCCCCCCCCCCTCCCCCCTCACACCCAAAAAAAAAAAAAAAAAAGAAATCAGATCTCTGTTTATTGCAATCATGGCAACAGTAAGAAATGTCCCCTCCCCCCAACACACACACACCTATGATTGGTTACCAGGCTCTTCAAGATGTCAGCACAGAGCCTGCTGCACAGAATGTGGCATCCCCCGCAACATCCTCAGGTTACTGCACTGGGGGTTTCATGAGGGCTGCATGGGGGTACCCGGCGCAAGCCGAACAAATCCATCATCTCACTTTAATGTTAAAATTTTTTTTTCTTTATTTCAGGATTAATCGGTGACATCTTCCAGCCAGGAGTAACCTGCAATATAAAAGTGGACAAAAGTCAATTTTTAGGCCGATGCCATAAACGATATAACTCCCCCAGCCGTATGCTCGAGTCACAGCGCCCCAACCGTGCCCATTACCTGCCAAAGGATTTGTATTTCTGTCCATCCAGTCCTGAGATCTATACCGCTCTGCCACACAGCCCTGTCTGGCAAGGGAGAGGATCTGATCTTTATCTGCTGCAGTGGCACCTTCACTTGCGTCCCAGCACTGTTTATATGCAGCTCTGGTATCAAACTTTTTAAATACAATCACCTGCCAGCGTTCAGGTGAAAAGGATTTGGGCATCTTTGATGCCGTCCGGTCACTTCTAAAACTGCTGGAGCATGTCCTCTGCGCAACCCCCCATAGGGAAGAAAAATATATTTGAAATATTCTTCCCAAATATATTGACTTATATTTGAAATGCTACAATTTTGGCCGTATTCAATATATTTCAATTAATAAATATATATCTGCCTGCTTTTCCTGGTCTACCTCGTGTCACCTTCTGGTCTCCTCATGTTTTAAAAAACTTATGGAAATTCCTTTGATTTTCTTGCCGGTCTACTTATTGGAGGGCTTTTTGGTTTGATCCTTAAAATTTGTTGAAGGTTTTGGAGGAGCAGCGAGGAAAAGGCTCTAAGGATATAATCTGTGAAATGTGTGGTTCAAGCTGCCCATTCATCACCAATCTTGTGAAGGTCAACATAAAAATGTGGTCCTTGTTGGATCTGGAGCCCCTTTCTTGTAATTAAGATTGAAGAGGGGGGTAGATCCAAGGTGTCGTTGAAGTACACGGCCCCTACAGTCTACATTTTAATTCTGTTCAATATATTTCTTGGTTCTGGGTTTCTATTCTAGATCAGCCTTGAGGAGTCCATACTTACCTGTAGATGAGAGACACCAAGATGGCAGCAGAGGCAGGGCCCACCCAGTACACCCAGTGGTAATCCCAATAGCCAGAGACAACAGCGGGACCCAGAGCTCGAGCGGGGTTCAGACAGGAGCCGGAGATGGAACCCCTGCAAGACCATAAAAGACATAGACAAGGTCAGGTAATGAGAAGCTCTTCCCCTTCCTTACCCTGAGCTTCTGTTGCATTGTATTATTCCTGATTTACACCGATTAGTCATTATGACCACCCACCATACCATGACCACCCACCATACCATGACCACCCCACCATACCATGACCAACCACCATACCATGACCAACCACCATACCATGACCACTCACCATACTATGACCACCCACCATACCATGACTACTCACCATACCATGACCACTCACCATACCATGACCACTCACCATACCATGACCACTCACCATACCATGACCACTCACCATACCATGACCACCCCCACCATACCATGACCACTCACCATACCATGACCACTCACCATACCATGACCACCCACCATACCATGACCACCCACCATACCATGACCACCCACCATACCATGACCACCCACCATACCATGACCAACCACCATACCATGACCAACCACCATACCATGACCACTCACCATACCATGACCACCCACCATACCATGACTACTCACCATACCATGACCACTCACCATACCATGACCACTCACCATACCATGACCACCCACCATACCATGACCACCCACCATACCATGACCAACCACCATACCATGACCAACCACCATACCATGACCACTCACCATACCATGACCACCCACCATACCATGACTACTCACCATACCATGACCACTCACCATACCATGACCACTCACCATACCATGACTACTCACCATACCATGACCACTCACCATACCATGACCACTCACCATACCATGACCACCCACCATACCATGACCACCCACCATACCATGACCACTCACCATACCATGACCACCCACCATACCATGACCACTCACCATACCATGACCACTCACCATACCATGACCACCCCCACCATACCATGACCACTCACCATACCATGACCACCCACCATACCATGACCACCCACCATACCATGACCACTCACCATACCATGACCACCCACCATACCATGACCAACCACCTCCTATTATGTAGTATTTCTTTTGCCACCAAAACATCACTGACCCATCGAGGCATGGACTCCACTAGACCTCTGAAGGTAGGCCATGGTATCTGGCACTGGAAGTAGCAGATCCTTTAAGTTCTGTAAGTTGTGAGGTGGGGCCTTCATGGATAAGACTTGTTTTTCCAGCACATCCCACAGATGCTCAAATGGATTGAGACCTATGGAATTTGGAGGCCATGTCAACACCTCAAACTTGTTGTGTTCCTCAAACCATTCTTGAATTCATCAGACCAGGCCACCTTCTTTCATTGCTCCCTGATCTAGTTCTGATGCTCACGTGCCCATTGTAGGCTCCTTTGGCTGTGGACACAGATCAGCATTTGGCACTGGAAGCTGCAGATTCTTTAAGTCCTTGAAGTTGTGAGGTGGGGCCTTCATGGATCAGACTTGTTTTTCCAGCACATCCCAAAGATACTCAAATGGATTGGGACCTACGGAATTTGGAGGCCAAGTCAACACCTCAAACTTGTTTTCCTCAAACCATTCTTGAATTCATCAGACCAGGCCACCTTCTTTCATTGCTCCCTGGTCTAGTTCTGATTCTCTCACGTGCCCATTGTAGGCTCTTTTGGCTGTGGACATGGGTCAGGATGGGCCCCCTGACTGGTCTGTGGCTACACAGCCCCATACACAACATACTGCGATGCTCTGTGTGTTCTGACACCTTTCTATCAGAACCAGCATTCACCTTTTCAGCAATTTGAGCTCCAGTAGTTCTTCTCTTGGAACAGACTACACAAGCCAGCCTTCCCTCCCCATCAATGAGCCTTGGCCACCCATGACCCTGTCGCTGGTTGGCCCGTTTTTTTTTCCTTTTAGTCAGTCCTGACCACTGCAGACCGAAAACATCCCACAAGAGCTGCAATTTGGCGTTGCTCTGATACTGTCTTCTAAACATTGCAATTTGGTCCTTGTCAGAGTCCCTCAGATCCTTACACTTGCCCATTTTTTCTGCTTTCAACACATCAACTTCAAGGACAACATGTTCACTTTCTGCCTAATATACCCACCCACTTTCAGATGTCATTGTCACAAGATAATCAATGTTATTCATGTTACCTGTCAGTGGTCATAAAGTTATGACTGGTTTATACAGGAACAGAGCTGAGGCTGTCAATCACAGGCTGTGTGATGGAACTCCTTCCCCTGTCACCATTTTATCTCTTGTTGTCAGAAAAACTGGTCAGAAGTGAATCATGCTGATAGCAGAAGAAGGAGGCAGCAGACAGAAATGACACCTAGTGCTCTGGACTGAGACAAGCACACACTATAGAGGGATATGCTTTGTTCATAGTTCATATCTGAGGTTTACAACCACTTTAACCCCTTGACCACGGCATCACACAAATGGATGGCCTCACAGAACTGGGCTTTTTCCCATTGGGCCTCATATTTGGCACCTGTCTTTTGCTGGGAGCGCGCCGCACACAAAGACCGGGCTTTCACTGAGAGCTCCGGGCCCCCGTTCTAACGATCGGGACTCCCGATTCCGGGTCACATGATCGCTGTGATAGCCTCTGATTAGCTATCTCAGTGATCAGTCACTGTACAACAGCACACTCCACCTTTATCCGCTGGAATATCACTTTTGAGAGGACAAACATTGTAAGAAAAAGTGAGACCCTGGAGGGTTTTTTTTTCCACATTTACCCGGCTAAAATTCCAGTGATGACGGTTAAGCCGATAGAGTAAGAGGCCAGCGGCGTCCGGCTACGCTCCCCCACCGCCCCCATCACCACAGCGAAGATTAAGAAGAAGCTGAAGACTATCTCCACTCCAACCGCCTTGCCCACGGAAGTGCCCCCGTCCACCATGCAGGCCGCTCCACTGTGATTCAGGAAGGACTCCTCATCCGCCAAGCCCTAGAAGAAGCAAATTATAAACCCTCAGAGGTCTACTTATAACAAAAAATCCCAAGTCGCATGTCTCAAGTATAGCTGTAATCCCTAAAATTTGTCTAAGTTTATTTCCTTTGATCGTCAGCTCCATCTAGTGGCCATAATGCAGTACTTCCCTGATAGTGGTATTTTAGGAAAATACTACATCATGGCCACTAGTGGGAGCTGTTACTCATAGGAAATAAACATATCGGGCAAAATAGGGAGATTATTTGTGATGGCTTTACAAATGCTTCAGACATTTTTTATAAACAGACCCTTTAAATCCTATGTAAACCCTAACAATGTAATCTCTTTTATTTCCCATCTTTCAGTCAGATAAATATTAATGTTGGGCTCTATGTTCGAGTCAAAGCTAAGTTCACTGAACACACAAACGGTACGGGCGTTCGGCGGGCTATTAGCCCACCGCTCCCCACAATGCACTGTGCCCTGACAGTATATTGTGATTGGTCAGAGTAATACTTCCAGGGACATTATTTTTACTTACATTTTTAATAAAGGATTTGTCAAAGACTGTCTCCTGTTCTTTTTACACTACACTTTTTTTGTGAATAGGTAGCTGTAAAGGAAACGGACCCCAACTGCCCTTGGGTACTTCCGTTAGACTACCGCTTCCCCATCCGAACACCGACCACAGACACCACAGCAGACCATACAAGACTAGACGACACCAATCTTGAAGTAAAACCAGGAAATAGACTATTTTAACAAAAATACAAGATATATACATTCAAGGGAACAGCCCCCCCTCCCTGCATAATGACACAGGGCGGGGCAATCCACACCCAGTAACAAGAGACACACCAGCAGACAGTCCCATCAGGGGGGGAGGGCTGCCGGCAACACCCCCACCAAGCCAACACACATAAACACATACATCCCATAATAGTTTGCTCCCAAGCAAGACACACAATAGAACAATGGGATGCAACCACATGGCATAAAACAATCACCAAACCCCACCCCAATATTAGGACAGACCACCCTGTACCCCTAACAGGCACAGGGTGATTTACACATAAGAGGGATATGGGGAGCTGAGACAGGGGTCTCCCCACCTCTCCAAAGTGAGCTGTGTTCCATGGGCCCCCCACCCAAAGTGACTCCCATGTACCACATATTCATTCACATGGGGGGCCCCTTTGTTAAAGGGGGCTTTAGATTCCAATAAGCCCCCCGTCTACAGACCCCCACAACCACCGGCCAGGGTTGTGGGGAAGAGGCCCTTGTCCTCATCAACATGGGAACAAGGTGCTTTGGGGGGTGAGCCCCCCTGCCCCAAAGCACCCCCCCCATGTTGAGGGCATATAGCCTGCTATGGTTCAGGAGGGGAGGGGGCTCTCGCTCATCCCCCCCTTTACTTACCTGTCAGGCTGCATGCTCAGATAAGAGTCTGGTATGGGTTTTGGGGGGGGACCCCCATGCCATTTGTTTTAAAATTTTGGTGTGGGGGTTCCCCTCAAAATCCACACCAGACCAGAAGGGCTTGGTATGGATGGGAGGTGGGACCCAACGCCATTAAAATAAAAAAATAATAATTGTCAGGCTATGCCTACAATTGTTTTTTACATTCAGCTGTCGGCGGGGAACCCCACTGACAGCGGAGACATCAATGAATGTCTTCACTACTAAAATACCGCGTGACTTCATACTAGAACTCATGCCAGATTTTAGTAGCTGCACGCAGGGGCGGACTGACCATTTGGAAACTCGGGCACTGCCCGAGGGCCCGGGGTCAGTAGGAGGCCCCATGAGATGCCCCTGGTACCTTTTTCATAGACTTTTTTGAGTTTGGGCAAGGACACAGGGGCCCCATGATCCCCTATTGCCTAGGGGCCCCATGAGTTGTCAGCCCGCCCCTGGCTGCGTGGTATCCAGGGGTGGACTGACAACTCATGGGGCCCCCGGGCAATAGGGGATCATGGGGCCCCTGTGTCCTTGCCCAAACGCAAAAAAGCCTATGTAAAAGGTACCAGGGGCATCTCATGGGGCCCCCTACTGACCCCGGGCCCTCGGGCAGTGCCCAAGTTTCCAAATGGTCAGTCAACCCCTGGCGGTATCTTCATACTCAGATGTGGGGAGACACTGCTAAATTGTAAATTGTTTGTATTCGAAGTTGGCGGTCAAACATTCTGTAGGTTCAAATGTTCAACTGCGAAGGGAGGTGTTCGGCCCATCACTAATAAATATACCATTGAAAGTGTTTTGCTATCCTGCCAGATATCTTGTGACCTGATAACTTCCTGTGTCCTCTGACTTAGGCCCCATGTACACGGGACACTTCTGAACGATGGAAACTGACTGCTGGAAAACGTAGGTTAAAAACGTCTGTTTAGCGGCGTTTGCATTTAGAAGCATTTTTTAAAGACAAGCACAGGAGAACCTCCCAAATGTCCACAATGCACTGAAAAGTGGTAAATTATTAACTATTTCAGAGAAATACAGAGAGTAGAAGCAGAGACAGCAGTATGTGTTGAGATTAGCTTAGGTGTGAGTTGCTCATTAACATTTCTTTTGTTTCCAAGGGTGGGAAAGGTGTCTGGTGGAGGGAGTCATTAAGGTCACCTGGCAGGGGGTCTTCATGAGGAATTTGAGGTGTGAATGTTCATTAACATATCTTTTGTTTCCAAGGGTGGGAGAGGTCTGAGGTGTGAATTGGTCATTACAATGTGTGACAAGCTTGGTAGGAACATCCTGTGTTCAGTGTTTTGTCCATTTGAGCACCTTGAAAACGCTTTGCATGTATTTTTCATGATGAAAAAAGGCTCTGGACAGCATCGGGAACTGGAAGAGTTAAAAAAAAAATTTCAAACGCAAATGCTTATAAACACAATTTGCCGTGTTTAGCCGCATTTACAAGCGTTGAAACGCTGATAAAATCGACTGCTGAACGCAAGTTTGGTGCATTCAAAAAAAACGACTGCAAACTCAAATGCCTGTAAATGACTGTAAATGACAATGTGTACACGGACACATAGGGAAACATTAGGGAGAGTTCAGGGGCTGCTGAAAAAAAACGCAGAACAGCTCCTAAACGTGAGTTTATCAGCTTCAGTGTACATGAGCCCTAAGCTGACTGTTTCCAGTTACATTGTTTCCAGCTCATTCTAAGGACTACAGAACACCTCCCCTCTATACTATGGAGAAAAAGAGCAAAGGATTTTATTGCAGTCCTGTCCTAGGAAGAAGACACTGCTCCTCCATAGACACAGCATAGTCAGTGAGCGTTGTTCCCCCCAGGACAGCCTCTACAGGAGTGCGTGTGAAAGGGTGACAATGCAGCAGCCCAATAGGGAGACTGTGACAAAGCGTTGTCCCTTATAACAGGAAGTACCTGAACAAGGACCTTCATTGGCAGGATCACCAGGGATTATTTTTATTAAACGCTCATATGAGACCTTAGTGATTGGGCGTACATTTACAGCCACATAGTACAGTGTGTCCTTCTACTGTTTGTGCAGTCCAGAAAATGTTTCTCTGGGGCAGTCAATTTTAATTTTAAATAATATAAAAGTATCAGAAGATATTTTCCCTGGTTGTATTCTGCCATGACATTGTACCCACCTTGGCCAACAGAGCTCCCAGCATGCCTCCTGATAGCTGGCATGTCCAATAAGGTACAAGGAGGATGGGAGTGAGACCTCCGCAGCAGACCACGCTCAGGGTGACGGCTGGATTGAAGTGCCCTCCACTAAAAAAAAAAGGAGATGAAAGAATTACCTACATGGTTCAATGGAAATATCATTTCCTCTGTGGAGTTTGCTCGTTGTGTGTGCATAAGGACAGATGTGCAGCAATCAAAAGTACATAGGTACAAGATCAGTAGTTGGACATATTAACTATACATTATATAAATTTGTATGTACGTCTTCATGTCACTAGAGGGGTCACCAGCGGGAGGAAGGAGGTCCTGATTCCTCTACATAGATCTTTATATCACTAGAGGGGTCACCAGCGGGAGGAAGGAGGTCCTGATTCCTCTATGTAGATCTTCATATCACTAGAGGGGTCACCAGCAGGAGGAAGGAGGTCCTGATTCCTCTATATAGATCTTTATATCACTAGAGGGGTCACCAGCAGGAGAGAGGAGGTCCTGATTCCTCTATATAGATCATCATATCACTAGAGGGGTCACCAGCGGGAGGACGGAGGTCCCGATTCCTCTATATAGATCTTTATATCACTAGAGGGGTCACCAGCGGGAGGAAGAAGTTCCCAATTCCTCTATATACTGTAGATCTTTATATCACTAGAGGGGTCGCCAGGAGGAGGGAGGAGGTCCTGATTCCTCTATATAGATCTTTATATCACTAGAGGGATCACCAGAGGGAGGAAGGAGGTCCTGATTCCTCTATATACTGTAGATCTTTATATCACTAGAGGGGTCGCCAGGAGGAAGGGGGTCCTGATTCCTCTATATACTGTAGATCTTTATATCACTAGAGGGGTCGCCAGGAGGAAGGAGGTCCTGATTCCTCTATATACTGTAGATCTTTATATCACTAGAGGGGTCACCAGCAGGAGGAAGGAGGTCCTGATTCCTCTATATAGATCTTTATACCACTAGAGGGATCACCAGCGGGCGGAAGGAGGTCCTGATTCCTTTATATAGATCTTTATATCACTACAGGGGTCACCAGCAAGAGGAAGAAGTTCCCAATTCCTGTATATACTGTAGATCTTTATATCACTAGAGGTAGGAGGTCCTGATTCCTCTATATAGATCTTCATATCACTAGAGGAAGGAGGTCCTGATTCCTCTATGTAGATCTTTATATCACTAGAGGGGTCACCGGCAGAAGGAAGAAGTTCCCAATTCCTCTATATACTGTAGATCTTTATATCACTAGAGGGGTCGCCAGGAGGAGGGAGGAGGTCCTGATTCCTCTATATAGATCTTCATATCACTAGAGGGGTCTCCAGCAGAAGGAAGAAGTTCCCAATTCCTCTATATACTGTAGATCTTTATATCACTAGAGGGGTCGCCAGGAGGAGGGAGGAGGTCCTGATTCCTCTATATAGATCTTTATATCACTAGAGGGGTCGCCAGGAGGAGGAAGGAGGTCCTGATTCCTCTATATACTGTAGATCTTTATATCACTAGAGGGGTCGCCAGGAGGAAGGGGGTCCTGATTCCTCCATATAGATCTTTATTTAGACCTTATTTAGAATACTCTGTCCAGTCCCGAAGACCTCAATTAAAAAAAGATGTTGATAAGATAGCAAAAGTCCAGAGATGGACAACAAAAATGATTAAAAGGTCTGAGTGATAAAACACATCAAGAGAGACTAAAGGAGATTCATATGTATTCGGGAAAGGCAGGAAAGAGAGGACATCATTAAAACCTTTAAATAAATAAAGGATATGAATAAGGTTTAGGAGGGCAGTATACTGTCCACAATATGAAGCTAAGAACATGGAGACATGACCTCAAGGAGGGTAGTTGATGCTTGGAATAGACTTCCGGTAGGGGTAGAAGGTCAGTTAACAGTAAGTGAATTTAAACATTCATGGGACAAACATAGATCAATACTCAACAAAAGAAGGGTCAGACTGGTTGGACCACTTGGTCTCTTTCTCACTCTTCCAAGACGGTCGTGTTCCTTGTTTTCATTATAAGTAATAAGGGAAGGGGCAAAGTAATCTGAACCGACCAATCACAATTTCTTCTTCTGTGATCTGGCTTAAAAAAAACGAATTCCCATTGGCCGATGCGGCCTTCCTCTCTTCTCATAACTACAAAATGGTTGGCAACCTTTAATGCTCACCTTATGTTGCCAAGGACAGAGATGACAACAGCCAACGAGAGTCCGTGTGCCAGGGCCGGAAGCAGGGGGCCCGCTCCGTGTGGGTTGACCAGAACAGATAGACATCCGATAGACAAGAATAGCGTGCTGCCCAGCAGCTCCACCAGACATGGCTGAATAAATCTTTCCAGAATGTTCGGCTCTTCTCTATTCTTGCCGGTCAGAACCTCCCTGGAGGCCGAGTCTGCAGCCCGGAACTCCGTCTCTTGGATGTACTCGTCGCATTTGGCCATTGGCGATCCAATCTTCAGTTGGCTTCTAACGAAAGGAAGAATTAGAGCATTATATATATATATATACAGTCAGGGACGGACTGACAGCTCATGGGGCCCCAGCATAATAGGGGCTCATGGGGCCCCTGTGTCCTTGCCCATACTCAAACCACACCTAAAAAAGCCTATGAAAAGTACCAGGGGCATCTCATGGGGCCCCCTACTGACCCTGGGCCCTCGGTGCCTGAATGGTCAGTCCGCCCCTGTATACAGTATATACTGTATTTGGTCAAATTTTAATTATTTTTACCTGCCAGCCCCTTCACATCACAGCGTCGTACATCTCTAACAAGGTTTTACATAGAACAAAATTTTCCAAATATTCCTCTTTTGAAGACTTTAATTAGAAAGACGACAAAACTAAAATCAGTCTGTAACATTTGTAGGTATTTATCCCAGTGCTCCCCATCTTTGTTCTGGCATCATCCAGGGTCACCATCTACTTCCTGGTTAACAGATGACACCATCAAGGACATCTCGGTGCCTGTGCGTTTTTTTTTCTGTGTTCACAAATGTCTGACGCGAATCAGTCCCTGCTGCAGCCCATCACCTTGGGGCTTAAATTCAGGGGCGGACTGACAACTCATGGGGGGGCCCCCGGGCAAAAAGGGATCATGGGGCCCCTGTGTCCTTGCCCAAACTCAAAAAAGCCTATGAAAAAGGTACCAGGGGCATCTCATGGGGCGCCCTACTGACCCTGGGCCCTCGGTCAGTGCCCGAGTTTCCAAATGGTCAGTCCGCCCCTGGGCTTGATACATAACTAAAATGCCGCAGCCTGATCATTGATGGGAAAGCACATGACTACTTTGACAGCCTCCCACATCTTTTAGGGCTAGTTTATGCTAGTGTTAGCCCTCTGAAGTGCTAAACGCGGCGGATCACTCTTCATTGGGTGTTTAACAGATCCCTACAAATCTGCACCACTGTGCTGCAACAGGTGAATAGGCCATGTTGGGAGCAGGGGCGGACTGACCATTGGGAAACTCGGTCACTGCCCGAGGGCCCGGGGTCAGTAGGGGGCCCCATGAGATGCCCCTGGTACCTTTTTCATAGGCTTTTTTGAGTTTGGGCAAGGACACAGGGGCCCCATGATCCCCTATTGCTTGGGGGCCCCATGAGTTGTCAGTCCGCCCCTGGTTGGGAGGGCAGTACTGTTTGCTCAGGTCAACGGGGGTTATAACCCATATAGAAGAAAAATATATTTGAAATATATTTTTAATATACTCTTCCTAAATATATTGGCATATATTTATTATTTGCACTTATTTGATCTCTATATATGTTTATCTGTTTATGTTGGATATGGATTGAGCATTACAATTATTCATTTGTATTTATTAGTTTATGATAGAGCGCTACACCAATTTCTTTGTATTTATTAGTTTACGCACCTAAGGGTGTAGGATTGGGTGTTAGCAGCTTTTAGTTTATCATGCGTTCATTTGAAGCGCAGGAGGATTATTACTTAATACTTTATACCTTTCGCTGCAAATGAGAATTTTTGCACCTGGACAACAGGAAGCTTCTAAAATCTCACTTATTTGGATCTTGACTTAATTGGTTTTAGTATGTACAGTATGTAAATGTACAGTATGTGAGATATGTGACCTACAGCAAATGTGGGGAGCGGATCTGGCCGCTATGTTTATGTATGCGAGATGTGACTTTAGACTGTAAGCTCTTCAAGGCCACTGAGCAATGTGAATGTACGGTATGTAAAGTGCTGGGTAAATGACCAGTTCTATATAAATGCCTGTAATAAATGTAATAAATAAAAAAACTCACGTGTATTGCCCTCGATTGTCCCTCTTTAGCAGCTCTGACTCACACTGAAAGTGGATTTTAAAACTTCTGAATGTTTGGGACTTCCAAAGTTCAGCATGTAGTAGGATGACCACAGTTCAAGGGCAATGACCTAGAATTCAAAAGATGTGAAATCCACCCCAAAACATTTTTTTTACAATTTTTTTTTTTCACAGAAATAAAAATGTTTTTAGCTAATTACCTTTTCAGAGGAAGCTTACAAATGTGGCTAGCAGAAGCTTCTCAGCTAGTACTGTAGAGCAGGCACTGGTCATTGGGTTGGCCAATGCAGAAATTTTACATATTATAGTATATACACTATATGGCCAAAAGTAATTGGAAGCCCCTCCAAATTATTGAGTTCAGGTGTTTTCAGTGAAAGGTACTGTTGATTCTACATCATATAAAGACATTTAGACAACTATGCTCCTTGTGCTTACCTTGTGGTAACAGTTTGGTGAAGACCCTCTTATGTTTCACCATGACTGTTCCCGTGTGTACAAAGCAACCTCCATAAAGACATGGTTTGACCAGTTTGGTGTGGAGGAACTTTTGTCCCGCACAGAGACCTGACCTCACCCTTTCTGAACACCTTTGGGATGAAATGGATCACCGAAGGTGGTTCACGTCTTCTCATCTAACATCAGTACCTTACCTCAACTCTACTGAACACCATTGGGATGGATTGGATCAGCAATGGTGAGCCAGGTCTTCTTCTCCAACATCAGTACCTGACCTCAACTCTGCTGAACATTTTTGGGATGAAATGGATCACCATTGTTGAGCTAGGTCCTCTCATCTAACATCAGTACCTGACCTCAATTAACATCAGTGCTTGTCCTCAACTCTACTGAACATCTTTGGGATGAAATGGATCACCATTGTTGAGCTAGGTCCTCTCATCCAACATCAGTACCTGACCTCAACTAACATCAGTACCTGACCTCAATTCTACTGAACATCTTTGGGATGAAATGGATCACCATTGGTGAGCTAGGTCCTCTCATCCAACATCAGTACCTGAGTGACCTCAACCAACATCAGTGCCTGACCTCAACTCTGCTGAACATGTTTGGGATGAATTGGACCACCAATGGTGAGCCTGGTCTTCTCCTCCAACATTACTACCTGACCTCAACCTTACCGGACACCTTTGGGATGAATTGGAATGCTGACTGTGAGCCAAGTTTTCCTATGTAGAATCAGTACCTGACCACACAAATTGGCACAATTTGCCACAGACATCTTCCAAAATCTTGTGGAAAGCTTTCCCAGAAGGGTGGAGGCTGCTATGGCTGCAAAGAGGGTTAGGATGGGGCCACTCCATGTTGAAGTGGAGATAAACCCTGAGAGCAAACATTTTCCAGCAGGTTGGGTTATACTGAAGGTCTCCTCTGCCAAAAGAAACTTGTTCACTATACTGTTATCAATTTTTTACATTTGTATTCTAATTGCGGTGCATGCTCAGTACAGTGCACAGTCCCAGCATCTAGTGCTGAGATAATGTACATAACTCTAGCACACATGCTTAGCAGTTACATCACTGGTTCTTGCCCAATGAATGAAACAAGCCTGGAAGCAGAGGAGGATAATGTGGCACAAGCGGTATGGAATGGACATTGGGAGATTGGATCGCTCACCTTTCTAGTGTCCTAATAGATCACGAGCACCCCTGGGTGCACAGATTGTTGAGGGGCTGGTAGGTACAATATTTTTAACTGAACAAAGATGAACTGGTCTAAAAACTGTAATGTCACATTATGATGACAAAATATTTAAGAGATGTATTGAAAAGTAGATAAATTATACAGTGTTTCAAAACTACATATAATGTATTATCTCCTTATTTCTAAGGAGACCTGGGACACTCAGTAGAAGACATGGGGCACTCAGTAGAAGACTGCGGGGTACTCAGAAGAAGACCCATGGCACTCAGTAGAAGACCTAGGGCACTCAGTAGAAGACGTGGGGCACTCAGTAGAAAACAAGGGGTATTTGATATAGGAACCAGGGTACTCAGTAGAAGACCCAGGGTACAGATAAGATAATCTGGGGCACTCAACAAAAGACCAGGGGACCACAATAGAAGTCCTGGGGCACTCAGTAGAAGATCAGGGGCATTCAGCAGAGGACCTGGGGCACTCAGTAGAAGACTCTGGGAACTCAGTAGAAGACATGGGACACAGTAGAAAACCCAGGGCTCTCAGACAAACATCTGGGGTACTTAATAGAAGGTCAGATGTACTCAGTAGAAGACCAGGGATACTTGATAAAAGACCAGAACACCTAGTAGAAGACCCAGAAACACACAATAGAAGACCAGGGGTGCCAAGCAGAAGACCTAGGGTACTTGATAGAAGACCAGGGCATGCAGTAGCAGCCGCAGCACACTCTATAGAAGACCCAGGACACTCAGCAGAAGACCCAAGGCACTCAATAGAAGACTAGGGGCACTCGATAAAAGACATGGGGTACATAGTAGAAGTCCTGGGGAAATCAGAATAAGACCTGAAGCACTCAATAAAAGATCAGGGACACTCAGTAGATGACCCAGGGCATGCAGTAGAAGACCTGAGGTACTCAGAAGACCTGGGGCACTAAGTAGAACTCCGGGACACTTAATAGAAGACCTTTGGCACTCAGAGGAAGACCTGGAGCACTCAATAGAAGACCCAGGGCACTTGATACAAGACCTAGGGGACACTAAGTAGAAGATCAGGGGCACACAGTAGAAGACCCCTTGCACTCAGGAGAAGACCCAGTGCACTTAATAAAGACCAAGGGCACTCAGCAGAAGACTGGGGCACTCAAAAGAAGACCGGGACACTCAGTAGAAGATTCAGGGCACTCTTTAGAGGGCTCTCAGAAAAAGACCGTGGCTCTCAGCAGAAGACCCAAAGAACTAAGTAGAAGACCCAGGGCACACAGTAGAAGACAAGTAACACTCAGTAACAGACTTGGGAGAACCCAGTGGATCTGGGGCACTCAATAGGAGATCTTGGGCACTAAGCAGAGAAGCCGGAGCATGTGCCCCAGGTGCCATGGTTTAACAATGCCCCCACTCACTCATATCACTGGAGGAGAGTTGTGCATACTTATGGCAAATGATGGCTGCTCCGCCATCATTTTACCTCTGCTTAAATGCTCATGATTTTGAA